CACAACAGCCATTCTTGGTAGGATCATCCTATGGATTTGGAAAATAGTGCATTCAGTGCATTTTGGCGTTTTCGGCAACTCAGAGTTCAATTGTTCTTTGCAGTTATAGCATTTGGTTCTTCCTGTACAATTGGCGGTTTGACATGCTGCAATAATTCACTTTACTGCCGCGGTTCTTTGTCTTTCAGTGAGTTTACAAGCTGGACAGTTATTGATCGAACAATACAGCTTAAGTGAATCCAACAACAGTCTACGTTCATACAAAACAATTCGGAGACCTTTAGGCTGCCCCGCAAAATTGTTACCAGCATCTTTAACAGGGAATACCATAAGCTGTTCCTGTTCAGTAATAATTCTGTTGATTGTGCCAGTAGTTGAATATTTCGTTTTCCTCATGTGTTTAGGATTCTTTCCACCTGGCTCTTTATTCATTTCGGAGGCTCACAGGGCGTCATCAGCAAAACAGGCATGACTTGTCGCATTGTCAAAAAGGAAGAGACATTGATGTGTACTGGGTGGGTATCTCAATTCAACCATTGGTATAACCACTGTCACGACACGATGAACAAGGAGCCCTCCTGTCCAATAGCCTTCATTATTCTTCCAAAATTCAAAATACTCTATTGCGTTCAGCCGTTTTGGGTTGAGTCCTTTTTGAAGCATGGTTTCGTCCGATATTGACATGGGAATGTGAACTCTTTCATTTTGGAATAGACAATCACTTAACATTATCCCTCGTCCTTTAGATTTTTTCTGTAAAAAACTATTCTGACTGCTCATCTATGCCTTACGACTGGAATCATTGGCACTAAAGATGGACTTATCATGCGTGCAAAGAATTATTCTTTTCAAGCCTTCAGCACAACTCGAAGCTGCTTTGTCGATTATGGTACCGTCTTCACCGAATTCGATTATTGGTGGTTGCAATTCATCTAGTTCTTTAATAAGAGAAATGCGGTATTTCAGAACATCATCTCGTTCATGCCTGTCAATGTAAACTCCTTTACAGACGTCATTATAATTCAGGCCAAGCTTCAATAACCACCTTCTTGCTGTTCGTGCCCGAATGGATGATCTTTTATATACTTGGCTCTTGTTTGCATCTTCTTCTCCATCGTCTCTACCCAGAAGCAGGAGATCTGCCTGAACACTATTAAGATGCACATTTGAGTAAAGATAATCCCCAACAGCATCTAATAGTTCACGGGATATGAGTTTATCACCTGATTTTGCAATAAATTCCCGAATGAACAACATTAAAGACTCGTCTTCATACCACGTGCTCATGAGTGAGTACGACTCTCTTTTCTTCCCTCAATAGTAATAGCGGCCCGGGGGCAGTACTAGTAGATTCCGAATTTGGTTCCCCTTCAAGTTGTCTTTCAAACATACGGTTTACAGGAACACATAATGCATTTTTCTCCAAAAGCTGTTTCTCAGCTGACTTTTTCCGTCTTTTATTCCTGTTGTAATCGCCGCCTCCAGCTCGACCTTTCAAGCCAGGAAGAGATGCCGCACCTCTCTGTTGGGCTTGAGGAGATCCGTTGAACAAATTGTTGAATTTTGCCTGTGCTGTATTGAGAGTTGCCGACTGCCCAGGGCCTGAATGTATATTCATATGCAAATTATCTTCAGTAAATGGTTCTCCAAACCGTCAGTAATGGTACAGGACTAACTGTATCCTAAAACAAAAGTGCTACCTGGATCCGAAGTTAAAATATCATCCTCTGACTCCTCCCCGCTGCTACTGCTTTAGAACGTGTCCACTCGCAATCTTTCCTGATAGGCAACATCATGATGCTGGTCTATTATTTCTCTCTGGGATTGAATATTAGATTGTCGAGCCTTGACCATAGCCTTTACCTGCCGCTGCCGTCTAGTTATGCCCATTGTGTATAGCTGTAGTCTGGTTGTGGTTGTGGTTCGTAGTGCTTTGTTCAAGTTCGCTGATTGACATTTTCAAAGAATTCTCGATCATGAAATCTCACTCACTATCGGCTTGGCATCATTTATTCCGGCCATTACCATCTCCCGGCACCTAAACTCCAACTGTTATGATGCCCAAAAATAGGTACAACAACACTAAACAATTAATTATTTTAATGTAATGTTATAAGCAACTTGCCTCTCTACACATCCACATTCTCAAATAATACTCTATCTTTTTTTTTGGTGGTGTTGTTCTTACTATGGAATTTCTGGTCGGATAGTTTGATTTCTTGTTGGTTCTTCGCAACCGGAGCCATACTTCAAAATGTCTCATTTTCCAATTTCTGAGACACACTGTGTTCACTGTGGTACATGCAACCGGTGGATAGTGTTTAACTCAAATAGTTTTTATGTTTAACATCTGGAAAAAGTGTTTAAGATTTCGTGTTAAACGTAGAAAGTGTTTAGATCAAACAGCAAGCAGTTTTTATGTTTGGATTAAGCATAAAAACTGTTTATACCTACGATAAGGCTTAGGTATTTAAAAGAATTATGGTTTCATGGGTTAGGGTTAGACACTTAGCATATATCAAGCCGTCTGTGCCGGTTCACCTCCATCACCTCCACCACCTCCGTACCATCCACCCCACCCTCCTCCCTTTTACCCCCACAATCACCATCACCGCTATCATCAAAGTGTACGCTAATCAATGAATTGAACAGCAATTAATCCAGCAGCAGCAGCAGCGGATCCAGAATCAGCAGCCAAATACAGCACCAAATACTACAGAATCAAATTGGGCATCAAATTCAACAGATTGAAATTAATGGGCAGGCAGATAGGCGTAGGTAGGCGTGGAGGGGGGAAGGGAAGGGAAGGCGGGCGGCCATCGATGTATATAATCTCAAATTAAGCCTTATAAGGCCCGGGTATCATAAGCCTTTGTAATAATAAGGTTAAAAAAAAACCTGTTTATAGGCTTTTAGAAACACCCGTTTGAAGCTAATGTTCTAAACACTTTTTAAACGCTTTAACTCAAACAGTTCTTATGTTTACATTAAACACTCTAATTCACAAACACTTTTTAAACACTTTATCTTAAACAGTTTCTATGTGTAATGCACTCTCTAAACACAAAAACTGTTTAACGTGTTAAACAGTTTATAAGTTTAGGGTTAAACATATAAATATGTACCTTGGTGATTGTAGTACTATATAAATACGCACTCGCCGTTCTGATCCCAATCAACCAGTCCGGGCAGCTCCCGTGGTAATCCACCTAGCCCTATCTTTTTGTGTTACCCTCTAGCGAGCCTTTTTATCTTGTTCACTTTGGCAGCGTTACAGACTTGACATTCAGTCTTACGCTATCCCCACAGTTTGCATAGACCTGTTATTGTGGAAACCAGGCATGAACGAGGGAGATTGGTAAATAGTCCCGAAATAAATAAAGGTCTGATGAATAAAACAGCACGCAGAGGCTCATGGAAGATCATTAGTAGTTTGGTCTCATAATCCAAACCCCAGAGAACGATTCCCGGGCCCGCACGCATGTCAGGTACTGTTGGAACTATGGTCCGAGCCTAGGAGCAAGGTCCTAATACCCATATGAGTGTCATTATATATGTCAATATATAGCCATATATGGACTATTCTAGGCACAATATTATTGTATAAATAAGGGCTTTATATGCCCCCTGTATAATAAATATGACAAGTCAATCAAGAAAAGTCATAAGCTTCCACATTTATTATTATTTATTATTCTTTATTCTATATATATATTTCCAACAGATACTGAGTTGTAGCGAGTGAGCTCTCATGACGGTTGCGCTTCTGTTTTTACTTCTTATTTATATGACGGGTGCGCTTAGGTTATAGTATAGGGCGGTCATCTTGAGTCCTTGCGCCTCGGTAGTCTTTGAGAATTACATTTGTGCATCTGTCGGATGCCTCTTCCCTCTTGATCACGGAGAACGGAAAGGCCGATAACAACATCGTCCGTCCCCACGCGCAGATCTCTTTCAACCATAGCTCACGATCAGAAGAACATCCATTCCGACGCTTTAGAACAATGGTAGCACTACCAAACCCCCAACCGAGGGGTTGCATGTTCGAACTATACTAAGCTTCACCCTCTGCCCACCTAACCTCTTCCTAAGTGGAGCGTGGTGCTCTCCATTTGGTTTGTGGTCGCTGTGATGACCACTGGATTATTTAGGGCATTGGATGAGGGGGATGACCTTGATGCCTCTGCCTAGTCTTCAGCACTATGGTGTACATGTAGGTAGTCTGGGAGGGTATCTCTAGATCTAATGAGCTCAACATAACCCCCTTCCGGGCAGGATTGGACGGGCGTTGAATGAGACTAAGCCTTGAGTCAAGCCCACTCAACCTGAAACGCCAGATTGTAAGCCTAGAAGAAGTTGGTAGAAATTCCTTATCAGGTACTAATTGATCGGTTAATATATCTTTGCTTCCACCTTTCTTCGGAGTCATGGATCATCACTCGGCCCTTGGGCTACCCGGTAATTATGTCTAACATACTTTTTTTTTTCAATGATTAGTCGCGATCGAGAGTAGCAGCATAGAATATGGTCTGCATGTAATTAATGAGAAACAAAAAAAAAAGATCGAGAGTAGCAGGGTAGTTTGGTAAGCACTACATATTACTGACTGTTTGACCTACTACATGTAAGTACAAGTATGTACGCTTTCACAAAACCGTACATGTGCAGCTGCTCCCCCCGTGTCGCCGGCAGGGCCTAGCTAGGCCTCCTAGATCCTGGATACGTTACCCCGTACAGGCCCGGAGGAATCTTGTAGGGTTGACCAGGGATATGTACCTTAATTAATGTAGATACCACGCTGTATATATATAGGGTCAAGTAAGTTGTTACTGACTACATACAAGTGACTACATGTACTTGCTTCGACGGCTCTCCTTCATTTGATTCTAACTACATGTATTTCTTTGTGGGGTGAGAGAGCGCTCTGGTTGGGTGGATATAAATACCTTAAGGGTTAGGGTTACTCACCATTGCGCAGGTCCTTGATAAAACAAAATTTACTCCGATGCGGGGAATCGAACCCCGATCTGCTCGGATCATTTTTCCTCTATTTAGAAGAACTTGAAAGCGAGCGATGCTAACCGTTACACCACATCGGATTACACTGGATTAGGTGAGAGCTTGTCAATGTCCAGATCTCAGATAGCTCCGATGCCCTCTGGTGTCTTTAGGATCGGTCAGGATCTGATATCGTTGCAATTAGTAGCTTATACTATATAGACATTCTGCAAAAGTGTTCGTGATTCAGATTTCGGAGTGACACATTTCACTATATAATCGTGGCGGACCATCAAAGAAAAAAACCCCTCAGGGGTTTCCAAGTGATCAATAGCCTACCTTCTTTATCTATAGTCATGAACTATATTGTATATCTTCGTTGTTTCGAATTTTAACATTAAAGGTAACATCAACATTACGGCTGCGCCACACTGCGCACTGACATTAAAACCGAATCACAACCACTTTTGTAGAGTGGCTGTACATGGTGGCCCTCGAGATCTTAACGCACGGTGGTTATCATACCTTGTAGCCTGGAGTGGAGGTAAAAAAGGCAAGAATCATGGTGGTCCCTCCAGTGGCCGCAAAGTAGATATCTTAACATCGATCTGTGCCAGGGCTACTTGTAACAAGTCCTGTATGTACCCATCCCGAACTCTGTACTAGTCGGGAGTCTCCCGCTACTAGCCGTTTGCATTTGCATTCTACAATAATCAAGTAACCAGGTTAAGATCCTGCCGTCGTGCCGCAGGCTTTAAGCCTACATGTTTGTAGATACAGATATTTCTATAATGTAATATGTTTTTAGCCGGATCACTACGTGCATACTCAGAGATGAGAAGGTGACGAAATCACCAGTATCTACGATATTGGACTTACCTATCCTAACTCGACTATATCTGGGAGGGTTCGGAGTTGCGGAGGTGGGTCTGGATATTATGAATAGGAGGGTCCCGTGAGAAACTCGGGCTGTTATAAACTGCTGTATTTAACTGAAAACTGACATAAACTCACCCAAAATGGCTGTTGAGTTTATGACAGTGACACCCAGGTTTTCGAGAGCCAGTTGAAGACTGTCTGTAATAAGCTCAGTTTCAAACTCCCGAGTTTATCACGGGGCCCTAGTCTAGAAGTATTGAACCAGACCGCCTCCAATCATACCACAGAGATAGCAATGCCCACATTTCCAGAAACCTGTGCTACCTTAAACCCTAACCCCTATGCATAAAGAGTGGGCTGCCTGAACCGCCTGTGCCACATGTCAATAGCATTTATTGAGCTGCCCACCGCAGCGTACAGCACCGATGGCCATATTATATTTATTACCCTTTTGACAGCAATCCGCGGCCAGCCCACATCTTATCAAGCTACCAGCTACAGACTTCGAAAACCGCCAAAATGAGCAGTTCATTGGCAGGATCCGGCCTGCCGTCTGAGACGACGCAGGAAGATGGAGCTCCCTGGAGTGGGAGATACGGTAACAATCGGACCCAATGGAAACCCTCCGCCCCGCGTGACAGTGTCTATCTCTCGGAATGGGCCTCACGGATGGGGCAAGCGCGCGCCAACGCCAATGCTGCTAATCAGCATGAACAATCGTGTCCTAGGTATGTCCCGCCGCACGCCAGGGACAATGGTTCCTCGGGGTACGGGGCTTATCGGAGCATTGGGGAGGAGGGAATGGGCGCATACAAGCCCCCGTGGCAGAGGTCCGTACGTGCTGGGTCTGTGCCTGGATGGGGGGAAGGCGCTGGCAGCGAGTGGAGGAATAGGGCGGAGAGACCGGATCGTCCTGAACGCCGCTCTCGCGCAATCGCAATCGTAGATCCAGTCGACACTCACTGTCCGATATCTGTTCCTCCTCAATCAGAACCTCATCCCTCCTCCCCCTCTGTGGCCGGCTCGCCTCGACCAATTCCTGGACCCTCCCCCACAATTGCAAGCTCACCTACGGTCCCAGCGCGTCTCGGCCCAGCTTCATCGTCTGTTTCTCCTCCTCCTCCTCCTCCTCCTCCTCCTCCTCCTCCATCTCCGCCCCGCCCTACCCTAGTCACACTAGCAGGTCTTCGTTCTTCCCCAGCTGTGGCGGCCCTTACTCAAGCCAGTCCTGGCCCAGTCTCAATATCATCTGCTGTCCCTTCCTCCTCCAGAGCTGCTCCTCTTCAGCCGGTTCCTCGACCACCCCCCATCGTGGAGAGCTTGCCTCGACCAATCCCTCGATCTTCCCTCACCGCAGCAACGTCTCCTCGACCGCGGCCCAGCCCAGTCTCATTATTAGTTCGTCCTTCACCATCTGCTGTGACGGTCTCTCCCAATATTCGTCCCGCCCTAGTCGCACCCGCAAATCCTGACCCGTCGCCGCCTTTGGCAGCTACTCCGCAACCCCACCTCCGCCCAGCAGTAGCATCCGATTATCATTCTTCTCCAGCAGTTGCTGTCTCTCCTCAAACTCATTCTAGATCTCGTCCAGTCTTGAATCTCCGTCCTTCCCAAGCGGTGGCTGGCGCTGCTCCTCAATCCCGCCCTCGCCCAGAAGTAATAGCAGATCCTCTTCCACTGCCCAATGTAGCTGCCCCACCACCACCCGCTCGGCAGTTATCGGTTCTAAATTCTCCCCCTGCTGCTGCTTCTGCTGCCGCTCCTCTGCCCCTCCCTCACCCGACCGTACCAGGAAATTCTCATTCCTCCCCAGCTGTGCCTGCCGCTTCTCGGCCCCCCCCCCGCTCAGCGCCATCAGCAAATCCCACCCGGTTGCGAGGCGTGGCAGTTGCTCCTCCCCCTTCTCCCCGCCCCTCCCGGTTTGGATATGCGATAATGCCTTTGAATTCTCCGCAACGTCCCCACCCCGTCCGGTCAAGAAATACTCTCCGGTCACCCTCCGTGGATGCCCCTCCTCAGCCCGATAGAGGCAGCAGAAACAGCGCAAGCAGCGGTCCGATCCCTCCCGCCGCAGCCACCGCACCCCCAACGCACGCCGCAACAAGAGAGCCAGCTTCTTCCGTCCGCATCTCACCCACCGGCGTGCTCCGCAGCTTTCTCTACGCCTTTACAGGCATTGGCAGGCCTGCTGTGGCGCAGGGGCAGGCTCAGCCACCCGCACGCACGCCCTCGCCGATGCCCTCGCCGAATATTCCCTCGCTGAATATGCCCCCACCGATGCCCTCATCCCCACCCCCGCCCATGCGTGACATGGAGGAGCGGAGGCGCCTGTTGGGGGAGGCGGCCTCACTGATGGAGCTTTGCACGAACCCGAATATCGAGCAGGATGAGCATGAGCGGACGCAGCTGCTTGATATTGCTAGGGAGACGCTTTTACAGTCGATAGGGCCGCGAGAGGAGGAGGTTGGGGATACCGTCCAGGGTAATGCGGAGAATCAGGCGGCGGGAGAGTGTGTGGTGTGTTGCGACGAGATGGCGGATACGGTGTTGGTGCCGTGTGGCCACTTGGCTGTGTGTTCTGTGAGTATCCATCCTAATATATTGGTCCGGGTTTCGGGGCGCTGACTAGTGAACAGGAGTGCTGTGATGCAATGGGGATAAATGAGAGAGGCGCGAGGAGGGGTGTGCATACAGTGCGGTGTCCTATATGCAGAACGGATGTGGAATATCGGGTAGGTGTTCATGTCCAATGTGTGAGATGTGCGTTGAAGAACACAGCTGACGGGGTGGCGAATGATGTAGATCAAGATATTTAAGGCTTAAATGGTGTTTGTGCGGATCAAATTGAAGATTATTATTTTGTGTTATTGTTCTTACGAGTACTGGGCGGGCTTGAGGAGAGATATCCCTTGATGTATGGCGTTAATTCTGTGTCTTTATTACATTCCATTAAAGTAATATCAAGCATTGGAATACACCTTCTTTGCTATACACATACTCGTTATTCCGGTTTACATAAGCCATGCACATGTAATTACATGTACATGTAGTCACCCCCACATAATCGATTGATATACTCCGTCACATGAGGTCAGGCAAGTTAATTATAATACTTTGTACCTTGCGCAAGAACTGCATGTACTATGTACAAGTAGTTTTCTATACCATGATACATGCATGCCCCATGATTGCCGGGTACTTGTACTTGAGTATGTAATCGCTAGCACCAGCTCGACGCATGGATTGGTGGTCAGATTAGAAACAACCCGTACATGCGGGGACCTACCCTAACCCCAGAACTTTAGTACGGTGCCCGCCGCGCAAACAATAGCACGATCCATCTCTCACAACATAACCTGTTCACGGGGATTTTGTGGCATAAGGATACTACAGCTATCGACTCTATACATATCCGTGACTTTTCCTCACTTGATTCTACCTATTTCCTGCCCGGGTGAGAGAGCACTTCGTTGGGTGGATATACGGCGCGAGGACGTAAATGATCGATAGTGCGCGATTATGAGCACAACCACAATCGATCCTTTGAAGAGCTGATAATTTGTAGAGTGAATAAAGAGAGAATATATGACATCTGGTATATTGTGTACCAACCCCTTGCCTTTACAACAGCCTCAATCCTCCCAGGCACACACTCAATCAGCCTACCAAATAAATCAGGTATCATCTCTAACAGTAGTTATTTTGGGTCTGCCGGTTCTGGTTGTGGATTTAACCTGGCCAGTCTTCTCATACCTTGCCCAGGCACTGGCAAGGGTTGACTGCGGTATACCAGTGAGCTCAGTAATTGCTGAGTAAGTGGTCCCAACACGCCTCATTCCGATAGCTTGCCATAGGAGAGATTCCGGCCACTCCCTCCTATCTGTTTGGCGGGGTACTCTGTCTTTGGTAGTATGGGGTGGTGCCATCGGGGGTTGTGAAAGATTTTGGTCGCGGCGTTGCGGTGTTGCACCGGTTCGTTGCGCGCACTATCGATGATTTACATCGCGCTGTACATACATTGATAAGGGTTAGGGTTGCTGGCTATTCCACTGGTCATTTGATCGATCGTTGATATTGATTACAGGTCATCATTGGTGACGCAAAATCTACTCCGGTGCGGGGAATCGAACACAGATGTACTCGGATCGGATTACACGAGAGTGGGTCTATCATGTCCAGACCTCAGATGGCTTCTACGCGCTCTATAGAGTCATGTCTTTAG